AAACTCAGAACAAGAACTGTCCCATCTGTAAAAGAAGATCTTCTAAGGATCTTGTAGTGAATTTTACTTTAAAAGAACTTGCTGATTGTTTTGCTGGACGACAGAAATCTGGATCATCTGAGGCAGAAAAAGGAGAGAAGAAGGTGGAGGTGGTGTGCAGCAAACACCAAGAAGATCCTGAACTGTTCTGTTTTGACGAGCAGAGAGCCGTGTGTCCTGTCTGTGAGTTTTCTCTCCACCAGAACCACAAAGTGGTTCCTGTAGAACAAGCAGTCAGTGAGCTGAAGGAGCAGCTAAGATCTGACTTAAAGTCTCTGCAGGACAAGAGGAACAAACACCGACATGTGGAGAAAACATACAATGATGTGATCCAACACTCCAAGAAGCAGCTGCTGTCCACAGAGACACAGATCAGAGCAGAGTTCAACAAGCTCCACCAGCTCCTGAGAGAGGAAGAGGAGTCCAGACTGGCAGCTCTGAGGGAGGAAGAGGAGCAGAAGAGGAAGACTATGAGCAGAGAGATGAAGAGGATTCAGGAGCACATCTCCTCTCTGTCAGACAGTATCTCTGCTGTTGAAGAAGACCTGCAGAAAGACAACGTGTCCTTCCTCAGCACTTATAAAGACACTCAGACCAAAGCCAGAACCCAGAGCTCACTGTCAGATCCACAGCTGGTCTCAGGAGTCCTGATAGATGTGGACCAACACCTGGGCAACCTGTCCTTCAGAGTCTGGGACAAGATGAAGGACAAGGTCCACTTCAAACCTGTCATTCTGGACACAAACACTGCGAGTCGATCACTCTACGTGTCTGATGATCTGACCAGTGTGAGGGATGATGACACATGGTGGGATGATGACACATGTCGGCAAATTCCACATATACCAGAGAGAAACACTAAATACACCAGTGTTTTTGGTTCTGAATCCCCGATGGAATGTTGATTTGGTTAAAGAGTCAGTCGACAGGAAGGAAGAGGGACTCAGGTGTTTATCTCATAAAGATGGAAAATACACCAATGTTGTTGGTAAAACTCAGAGTGAAGAAGAGTCTCCAGAGGATCAGGGTCCAGCTGGACTATGACAGGGGGGAGGTGTCCTTCCACGACTCTGAAGACATGAGTCACATCTTCACTCACAGAGACACTTTCACTGAGAAACTCTTCCCTTATTTCTGTGTTTGTCCAGCTGGAGACGCCAAAACATCTGAAGTTAAAATCTGTCAAACTGAGATCATCGTAACGTCTAAATAACGGTTTTTACTCACGATGACAGATTTATTTTTAATTGAGTTTTTATTTAATGTCTAACAGGAATGTTGAAAAACTAATTTGAAGCTTAAAGAGAAATTAGATTTTATTACTTTGACTAAAATACCTGATGAAGCCGTGCTTTGTTTTCTCATCAATTTAACCTAGGAGAGAAAGAAGTTGATACAGAATCAATGTTTTTTTAATTTCTTTCAAAAATACAAAAAGTTTTATGAAACTGCAACAAATTGAGAAAACTTACTTTGTTATCCAGATTAAAATCTGTGTACATCAATAAAACATTTTATCTCCAGTGAAACTTTTCTATATTGTTTTCTTTATTAATAATTCTCTCTTAGGTCTTGATGTTAAATGATTTTGAACTCTAAGTATCAAATATTTATTAGAAATATATATATATATAAAGCATTATAATACTTTGTATATATAATCATAATATATTTTATAAACACAGAGAGACGCTGGAGTTTCTATTGAAATTGTTCTTTTATTGAGAACACATTTGTTAAAGTCAGAGAAACACGTGGAGCACGTAAGAGAACAGAGCAATAATCTGAAGAACCAGAGAACTAGAGGATTAAGATTATTTCACAGAACAAAGCCAAAGTGACAAAAAGAGACCAAATGAAAGTAGAAAGAGGCGACTGCAGAGAAATGATGGAAGAAGGTTGGAAACGGAGGGAGCAGGAAGAAGAGTGAGGAGAAAGCAGCTCAGTGTTGTCAGAGCAGCTGAGTCTCTGCAGGAGAAAGAAGATGGCAGAAGTTCAGAGAGAACATGGAGGCTCCAGCTGATCAGTCAGGAAGGCAGCATTAAAAGCATCAGGCTGTCAAACATCTGTTTGTGTGACTGCGCCCCCTGCTGGAGATCCTCCTCTCCAACACACAACAGCTGCACTGACAACACCGAGAACCAGAGGACAGCATGCACACTTCATCATCATCATCATCATCCTTAGTGCCACAGTCTGGAATATAATCCTC